TATTTTTTTTTTGGCCTATAAGTATATAGTATGCCTTAATGTCAGGAGGAGTGATTCTTTTCAATGTACTCTTTTGTTTTAGAATTGTTTTATCTATTCTAGGGACTTTCCCCTTCCATATACATTTTATTTTATTTTTTGAGTCGGGGATTCACTCTGTCACCCAGGCCAGAGTGCAGTGGCATGATCACAGTGATCACGCTCATGGCATCCTTGACCAGGGCTCAGGTGATCCTTCCACCTCAGCCTCTCAAGTAGCTAGGACTACTGGTACACACCACCATGCCTAGCTAATTTTAAAAATTTTATTTTTGTGGAGACAAGGTTTCAGTATGTTGCCCAGGCTGGTCAGAACTCCTGGGCTCAAGTAGTCCTCCTGCCTTGGCTTCCCAAAGTGCTGGGATTACACATTTTAGAATATATTTTCTTTGTCCACAGAAAACCTTAGTGGGATTGGGATAAGAATTGGTTAAAACTATAGGCCAATTTAGGAAGAATTAACATCTTTACTATGTTGAGTCCTCCAGTTCATGATCATGTTCTCCCTCTTTATTTAAAAAAAATTGTTTTGCTACCCTCTCAAGATTGACTTTTTTTGACTAAATGTAATGCCTTTGAGATCTAGCCAGGTTGCCTCATATATCAATAGTTCATTCTATTGCTGAATAGTTTTCCATGGTATGGATGTACCATAGTTTTTTCAACATTTACCCATTGAAGGACATTTTGGTTATTTCTTGTATTTTGCTATTATGAAAAAAGCTGCATTCATGTGTAGATTTTTGTTTGCACATGTTCTCATTTCTCTGGCATAAATGCCTAAGAATATGATTGCTCTGAAACTTTCTTTTTTGGAGTTGGAGTCTAACTCTGTCACCCAGACCGGGGTACAGTGGCACATTCACGGACACCCCAGTGTCAACCTGCTGGACTTCAGCAATTCTTCAAGTAGCCAGAACTACAGGTGCGCACTATCACTCCTGGCTAATTTTTGTTTTTAATTGTAGAGATGAGGTCTTGCCAAGTTGTCCAGGCTGGTCTGAAGCTTTTAAATAAGTTAAAAAAAAAAAACAAACTTGAACATTCCTCATGAGTATTATTCACTGAAATTCTGAATTTAAAGATTTTGTAATAACACATCAAGAGGATGTTCCATGTATTGCTTGACCCTTACTACTTTCTTTTCTTTTCTTTTTTTTTTTTTTTTTTGAGTTGGAGTCTCACTCCACTGCCCAGGCTGGAGTGTAGTAGAATGCTTATGGCCACTCCAGCGTCAACCTGCTGGGCTCCGGTAATCCTTCCGTCTCAGCCTTCCAAGTAGCCAGAACTACAGGCACATGCTACAATGCCCGGCTAATTTTTATTTATTTATTGTAGAGACAAGGTCTTGCCAAGTTGCCCGGGCTGGTCTCAAACCTGCCGGCTCCGGCAATTCACTCACCTCAGCCTCCCAAAGTGCTGGGATTACAGGCTGAGCCACCAAGCTAGCCAACCCTTACTATTGAAGATTTAGGTAACCTATGGATATTTTTTCACTATCATGGGAGCAACATCTGTATTCTTCAAACTTGTACCGTCTTTTTGGTGATGGGATTTCTAGGAAAGTCTTGATAATCCAGACCAATGTAGGCGCTGACAAGTTGCTCTCCATGTGCACCAGCTTCCCTTCCTGCTGCTCTCACCACCCTCAGCCAGCATCTGGGTCCTTGTTTCTTTTCTGGTGAGATTAGGCAACTTCTCGGGTGTTTGTTCACTTGTTTGTGACTTGGCTGTTCAGACTCCTTCATTTTTATCTGTCAGTGGCTTTTACAGGAAAATAATGAGGAGAAATACCCCAACAGCTTTTTAGTCTTAGCTCACCCATTTCAAATCACAAGAAGGCTGGGCACAGTGGCTCACACCTGTAATCCCAGCACTTTGGGAGGCCAAGGTGGGAGGATTACTTGAGGCCAGGAGTTGACACTAGCCTGGGCAACATGGCAAGATTTTGTCTCTACAAAAAAATCAAACAAATTTGCTGGGAGTGGTGGCGTGTGCCCGTGGTCCTAACTACTCAGGTGGCTAAGGCAGGAGGATCACCTGAGCCCAGGAGTTTGAGGCTGTGGTGAGCTAGGATTGTGCCACTGCATGCTAGCCTGGGTAACAGAGTGAGACTTCGACTGAAAAAAAAAATTGCAAAGAGACGAAAGCAATAAAAGCCAGGGGGTAGAAAAGCTCTGGCTTTTCAGAACTGTTAGAGGATACGGAGGGTATGTTTCTGTTGCTTTCAGTTAACAATTTTATGAAAATTTGTTGCAGGAGTCACAGGACACTCATATACCTGGCAGGTAGCTTGCTCATCCCTGGCAACATTTGTCCATAGGGTTTTCAGCAATCAGGCTATGGGCCTATGGCTTTGCTTCCACACTAGGGCCTCTTCTCTAGCACAGCTCAGCCTGAGAGGGGCTTGCCTCTCAGGCTGCAGGAACCAGTCCCTCGCCTCCTCCTGCTTTCTGGCCAGCCCTTACAGCCATAGGTAGAAACCCCCACCCACCCACCCACACTTTGCTTTTCTTCCTGCTCCTCATCCATGGTGACATCCATGCTGCTTGTTATCCTCCCTGTGTTTCTTATGTGTTTTCTTTTTGTATCTTAAACATCATTGGATTCTCCATTTTATTCAGGTAGTGAAAATAAAGAGGGCTGGGTGATCTGTAGCCATGGTTTTTCTTCACATCTGCTAATTTGTGAAGTTGGCCTAGAGCTGAAGAATCCTGTGCCTCCATGACAAAGCCTTGCCCTGGAATTTCTACCTCCCTGTAAAGCAGTTTCTGAACCTCAGCTGTATTGACTTTTGGTGCTAGATCATTTGCTGGTAGAAACTATCCTGTGAGCTATAAGATTTCTAGCACCATCTCTGGCTTCTTTCCTTCCCCTTCTGCACTTCCTTCCTCCTGAGCCCTGACAAGCAAAAATGTCTTCAAACATTGCCAAATTTTCCCTGAAGGCAAAACTGCCCTCCCCACTCAAGAACCTCTGCTATAAAAAAATGGCCAACTTTCTCAAAATTCCTGAAAGCCTGGTTTTGTGGCCTTGTCCTTTAATTGAGCCTGATGCTCACTGTGTGGGGTCCTTAAGACCACTCTCAGATTTGATGATTGGCTGGAAGGACAGAACTTAGAAAAGCTGTTATAGTTATAGTTTAGTACATTGAAAGGATGCAGATTAAAACTACAATGGAAAAGGCACATACTGTGGAGTCCAGGAGAGACCAGGCACCAGTGTCAGTATTCAGCTATCCTCTCCCAGTGGAGTTGTGTGGACAGCACTTCATTCTATGATGAGTGTCCACCAGGGAAGCTCACCTGAGCCTTGGTACCCAGGGTTTTTATTGGAGGTTCAGCCATGTAGACATGGAATCTATGAATTACTTTTGTTACTTAATCTACAGACCCTCCAGAGACTCCACTGATAAAGCAAGGCCCCAGGACTCTACCATAAATTGCATCGTTAGCATAAAATACCTGGCCCAGTGTCCAGTTTAGCAATAACATTTTAGTGGGCAGGATATCCCTAGGGCTCAGAGATTACCTCCCAATAGCAGTTCAAGAATCAGACTTTTGGAATGTGCAGGGTTTGGACAACTCAGGTCTGCTAAGTCAGCCCTTTATTTTAGACTCCCTGTATTGGGTATGTATTGTGGTTGTATGGCATTCCAGCATCATACTGGATGGGTGGAGCTTTCACCTTTTTGAAGTAGGAGTTGTTTTATTCTTTTGAGTAAGTTTAATGTTGGGAGTCAGATTTCTATGTATATATATATTTTTTTGAGTTGGAGTCTCACACTGTCACCCAGACTGGAGTGCAGTGGCTGCTCCTGGTCACCTCAGCCTTGACCTGCTGGGCTCTGGCGATCCTTCTGCCTCAGCCTTCCAAGTAGCTGGAACTACAGGCATGCACTACCATGCCCAGCTAATTTTTGACTTATTGTAGAGATGAGGTCTCACCAAGTTGCCCAGGTGGGTCTCGAACCTGCGGGCTCAGGCAATCCACTCACCTCAGCCTCACAAAGCGCTGGGATGACTGGCTGAGCCACTGAGCCCGGCTCCTACGTGTATTTACATCAAGTCTAAAAAGCCTGCAAGTTGAACATTTTGTCACAGGCTTATGTTACATATTAAAATGTTTTTAGCCGAGCTCAGTGGCTCAGCTTGTAATCCCAGTGCATTGGTAGGCTGAGGTGAGTGGATTGCTTAAGCTCGCGGGTTTGAGACCTGCCTGGGAAACTTGGTGAGACGTCATCTCTACAATAAATAAAAAATTAGCTGGGCGTGTAGTTCCAGCTGCTTGGAAGGCTGAGGCAGAAGGATGGTCGGAGCCCAGCAGGTTCAGGTTGCAGTGACCAGGAGCGACCACTGTACTCTAGTCTGGGTGACAGAGTGAGACTCCAACTCAAAAAATAAAAATAAAAAATAAAAAAATGTTTTTGGTAGGGTATGAACATTCTTCTCCCACTCCCAAACTTGTGATCTGACAGCAGTTCTAATTATTCCACACTGGTGTTCTTGTGTGTTTATTGTTGCATTGTCTGTGCTTGCCCTGGTGCCAAGATTGTATATAATCTCTGCCTTGTAAAGTTGTTTTTTATTTCAGCAGTGAATTTGCCATTCAGAACCAACTCTCCCTTTCTTTTTCGTTCTAGGTATTTTTGGAGGACTTGCATGCTTGTTTTGCCTAAAGAATATTAGATGTCCTTTCAGAAGAGACATTAGGGCCTGCCATGAATGTTGTACCTGAGGGGTGAGTGTCCCTGGATAGTTAAACCTAGGAAAACCAGAACATTTGAGAGCAACAGAGTTCTCAGAAGAGATTGCCTGGGAGATGATAGTGTCATTGGGGTAACACGCTTCCAGCAGCTGTAAGTATTGAGGCCCTTGTGAAGAGGCCCAGCCTTGGACTTTGTTCCTGGACAGGAGTAGGTCTCCAACACCCTCTCTGGGGACCTCAGGACCTGAATGAAGGTCCAGCACCCAGACAGCTGTGGGAGGAGATGATGCTGGTGGCAGAAGTTTCCCAAGCCTTTGAAGAGAAAGGTGAGGACTGCCTTTAAAATAAAGCACAGAGAAAGCAAGATTTCCGCAATGCATGGCTCAGTTCCTGATTTTCCAGGGAAAATTTTTTTCCAAGAATATGGGGCAAGAAAAATGCCAGCGTTAAATGGTAGAAGGATGGCTGGTGTGGGGGCCTTTCTATGCATGCCTCTAGCCCAAATGGGAGTTGTTTCACTTCTTGAGGAGTCAGAATCTAGGGTTCTTCACATATGGCAAAGCACTGTGTAATGAAAGGCACTGTCAGGTGGAATGAGTGGAGTTAGATGACACCCTTCCAGAGCCAGGGAGAAGTGCCTTGTGCCATGCTCTGGGGATTTGCACGCCCTCCTTTTCCCATTCCCCATTCTTGTATTTGAAACTAGCTCATCGTTCATTGTGATTCTTTAAATTGTATAGTTGTTTAGACATCTAGCCTTCACATCCCCTTACTTCCTCTCTTGAAATGACAGGGAAAATGGACCCTTCCTTTTACTTGACTGTTGAGGCATAACTGTGTGTCTGTGGGCTCACAGCTGAGATACCCAGCATATGCCTGGTCATTTTCCCTTAGCCTAGGACACCCCAGGTTCACACCCAGGCATGAGGTTTGAATCCCTTGGCTGACCTCAGAGCCTTAGGGAGTCAGATGCCCATGTGACAGCTTTCCTGAACCCCCCATCTTCCTTCATCTCAGACCCCACAGGACAGTCCTGTTTGTCGCTGGCCACCTTCTATGTTATCTGTGGTTGGAGTGGGCTTGGGCAGCATGGGGTACTGAGGAGGGCTGAAACCCTCATTGTTCCTCCACCCCAGCCCTGCCTTCTGAGGTCTTCTGCCCTCTCCACAGCAGCCTCTTCAGGAATAAGGAGGATATGGATGCACGTTCTCAGCTGGTTATACCTCAGGTGAGTGGGGGAACTCACTTTTGGGCCTCTGGTTCTGCAGTTGTAAAATGGGTCCAGCAATGGCACCTGCCTCCCTGGAGCACCACACATGTATGCTCCATAGTGCTGGCTAGTGCCTCCCAGTAAAACCTGCGGGCTCCTGCAATAAAGCACCGTACCTTTTGTCTGTATGGATCAGACCTAGCACAAGTCTCTTGTGCCTGCTCAGCTGGGCCAGGTCTTTGCTTCTGACATTTTGCTGTGGTTCCTCATTGGGCCTTTGAGGGCAGGTGGCACTGAGTCTCCACACCGGACAGATACCCTCAGGGTCACTGAGACCACTTGGGAGGGTGTCCTCTTAAAGTCCCGTAGTCGCCTGAAAGGTCTCCCATAGATGTTCATAGCACAGCACTTTGGGTGAAGTGCAGTCTCTGACCTCACGCATTCAGCATCCTGGCACTACACATGTGGGAGGAGGGCCAGTGCCGCTCACATCCTGTGAGTCTCCCGCTGCTGGAGGTTGTCTTTATAGCTATATCAACCAGAGAAGTTCAAGGATGTGTCCAGGTGTCCAGTAATGTGTGAAGCTGAGATACCGACTTAGGGGTGGCCCTAGGTTCAGGGCCTGTTGCCCCTTGTTTGTCAGTCTTCCTTGACTGCAGGATTGACGAACAGTTTTTGTAAAGGGCCAGATGGATACTACAGCCATACATCACTTAACTACAAGGATAGGTTCTGAAAAATGTGTTGCTAGGTGATTTATCATTGTGCATTTAGACACAGAAAGCACTTACACACACCTAGATGTTGTAGCTTAATACACACCTAGGCCATATGGTATTGCCTGTTGCTCCTAGGCTACAGACCTGTACCTGTTACTGTACTGAATAGTGTAGGCATTTGTAACACTATGGGAAGTATTTGTGTATCTAACCATAGAAAAGGCACAATAAAAATGCAGTGTAAAACATAAAAATTGGACCAGGCATGGTAGATCTTGCCTGTAATCTCAGCACTTTGGAGACTGAGGCAAGAGGATTGCTTGAGCCTAGGAGTTTGAGACCAGCCTAGGCAACATAGCAAGATCTTCTTCTTACCCCCAAAATGAAAAACTTAGCCAGGTGTAGTGACGCATGCCTGTATTCCCAGTTACTTGAGAGACTGAGATGGGAGATCGCTTGAGTCTAGGAGGCTGAGATGGGAGGATCGCGTGAGTCTAGGAGTTTGAGGCTATGGTGAGCCATGATTGTTCCTTTGCACCCCAGCCTGGGCAACAGAATGAGACTCTGACTAAAAAAAAAGATAAAAATGGATAAACTTGTATAGGGCATGAATGAATGAAGCTTGCAGGACTGGAAGTTGCTCTGAGTGAGTGAATGGTGAGTGAATTTGAAGCTCTAGCAATTACTATATACTACTGTCGACTTTATAAACACTACACCTAGGTTACACTAAATTTATTCTAAAATGTTTTCCTTATTCAATAACAAATTAACTTATTGTAACTTTTTAACTTTGTAAACTTTAACTTTTTTCAACTTTTTGACTATTTTGTAATGACACTTACAACACAAACACATTGTACAGCTGTACAAAATTATTTTCTTTCTTTGTATCTTCATCCTATAAACTTTTTTCTTTTTTAACTTTAGAAATTTTTGACACTAAAAAACTAAGACACAAACACACGCATTAGCCTAGGCCTGCACAGGGTCAGGATTATCAATATCACTGTCTTCCATCCCTATATCTTGTCCCACTAGTAGGTCTTTTTTTTTTTTTTTTTTTTTTTTTTGAGCTGGAGTCTCACTCTGTCACCCAGACTGGAGTGCAGTGGCTGCTCCCGGCCACCGCAGCCTCGACCTACTGGGCTCCGGCGATCCTTCTGCCTCCACCTTCCAAGTAGCTGGAACCACAGGCGTGCACTACCACGCCCGGCTCATTTTGATTTATTGTAGAGATGAGGTCTTACCAGTTTGCCCAGGCGGGTCTCAAACCCGTGGGCTCAGGCAATCCACTCACCTCAGCCTCCCAAAGGTGCGGGATTACAGGCTGAGCCACCGAGCCCAGCTACTAGAAGGTCTTTAGGGGCAGTAACATGCATGGAGCTGTCATCTCCTATGATAACAATGCCTTCCTCTGGAATTCCTTCTGAAGGGCCTGCCTGAGACTGGTTTTTTGTTTGTTTTTGTTTTTTTTTTTAATAAGTAGAGCACACTCTAAAATGATAAAAAGTATAACATAGTTAATACATAAACTGGTAACAGTTGTTTATTGTTATTATTAGGTATGATATACTATACACAGTTGTATGTGCTATACTTTCATTTGACTGGCAGTGCAGTAAGTCTTCCTCCTACTTTCCTTTCCCTCTCCCCCCTTCCCCTCTGCCCCCTCCTCCCCCTCCTTCCTGTCTGCCTCCTCTTCCCCTTCCTCTTTCCCTCCTTCTCCTTCTCCCTCTTCTCTTCTTCCCTTCCTGTTTCCTCTTCCCTTCTCTCTCCCCCCCTCACTTAAAAAAAAATAAAATCCATTCTTAGCTATAGTAGCTCAGGCTGCCATAACAAAATACCTCAGACTGGGTGACATGAACAACAGAAATTAATTTTTCTATAGTTCTGAAGACTAGAAATCCAAGACCAGGTGCTGGCTTAGTCTGGTAAGGGTCCTCTTCCTGGCTTGCAGACGGCCGCCATCTTTCTGTATCCTTAGAGAAAGACAGCGTGCATCCTCTGGTGTCTTTTCCTTTTTATAAGGACGCCATTCCCATTAGATTAGGGCCTCACCCTTATGACATCATTTAACCTTAATTTCTTCCTTAAGCACCTTATTTCAAATACAGTCACACTGGGAATTAGGGCTTCATCATATGAAGTTTTGGGAACACATTTCATTTCATAGCATTAGCCTTCTGAAAACACACCATAGTCCAGGTGTGTCCTATAGGCTATAGTTTACCAACCCCTGATTTAGAGATTCTTTTTTTTTTTTTGGCCTGGTTTCAAATCTGGATTTTGAAGAGAGGCTGGGAGTGAGGATCTCCTAGTGGAGTGTTAACATTTTCAGTCTAGAAATCAGGATCACTGTGTGATGTGACAAGCAAGATGCTTAGAGGAGTAAGATAGCAGCCTATGTATTTGGGGCTATCTTAGTCTATTCAGACTGCTATCTTAGTCTATTCAGACTGCTACAATAAGACTTCTTACACTGGACAGTTTATGAACAACAGAAATTCTAGAGGCTGGGATATCCAAGATTAAGTGCCAGTAGATGTAGTTTCTGTGAGGGCCTGCTTTCCCATAGATGGTGTCTTCTGTGTGTCCTCACAAAGCATAAGGTGCAAACAGCTTCCCTCAAGCCTCTTTAATGAGGGCATTAATCACCTTGTAAAGACCTCACCTGTTAATATCACACTGTGTATTAGGTTCCAACATATGAATTTTGGGAGGATCCTGACATTTAGGCCATAGTGCGAGCCTGCACTTGGGCCTGGGATCTGTGTCCCATGAGCAGTAATACATTCATGTTTCAGGCATCTGTATGCTTCGAGGATGTGGCTGTGACTTTCACATATGAGGAGTGGAGACAGCTGGACACAGCCCAGAGGATGCTGTACCGAGATGTGACACTGGAGACCTGCAGGCATCTTGTTTCCCTGGGTAAGGTGGGCTAGGCCCATGGCAGGAGGTTTCCATCTCCAGGACTCAAAGCTGTAGTGATTCTGAAGGATGTTCCAGGTAGGCTGGAGTATTCCAGAAGCAGTCTTTTGGGAATGCAGGTCCCAGGTCTTGCCCCTCGCACTAGCTCCAGTAGGTTTGTGACTTATAGTCCTGGGAGCAAGGAGTTTCCTGGGGATGCACTGCAGTGTGAAGGCTGGGCCCTGGGACATGGTTCTTTATTTCCAATTCCTGTGTCTTTCTTCTGTAACCAGGGCTACTACTTTCCAAACCGGATGTGATCTCTCAGCTGGAGCAAAGAGAAGACCTGTGGAGGGTGGAGCAGGCATCTCCCCAAGGTGAGAGCAGATTTTCCTCTCAGCGGCCCAGCAGATAACAAACCCAGCCAGAGAGCTCTCTGCAGGACCTGGAGTCTGAGGAGGAAGCCTTTTTGAGCGAAGCTTCCTTGCGTGTTTTCTGATGCCTTGTGGTGTGGGACAGGGTAGCCATACATTCATCCCTATCCTTCTGTCCCTTCTGTGCCTGGCACACAGGGCACTCACATTGCTGTCATCCAGATGTTTCTAAATGTATGGGTTTACACCCATTCCCATCTCCCCTTTGGTTGTCACCTCCCCCTCTCCCCTGTCTCACCCTGTTACTGGGTCTGCATGCCCCCTCTTCTTGAGCTCCTCATCCTGACCTCCACATGAACCAGTACCTCCTGGGACCTCCCATTCAGGCTCAGTCTTTGCTCTGTGGATGGGTGTCTGCCCCTCCTCTGTAAGAACTTGTGCATCCTGAGAAATGACAACAGCCCCTTCTTTCCAGAAAGCATTCCTTACTGAGCCTACTTTCCCACCTCTTCTTATTCCATAGACCCACCTTCTTGTGCATCCTAGTTTGTCACCCTAACTGGGATTCTTTATTTTGTCACAAATTTGTCAAGCTACGATTGACATACCATGCCCCTCACCCATTCAGAGTGTGCAATTCATAGCTTCTAGTGTATCCCCAGGGCTTTGGAACTCTTACTACAGTTAATGTTAGAACATGTTCATCATCCCAACTAAGTAGGCTTTCTTTACTTGATTTTTATTTTGTTTTATTTTTAATTAATATATTTTATTTTATTTTATTTATTTATTTTTATTTTATTTTATTTTTTTTTGAGTTGGAGTCTCACTCGGTCGC